GCTTGAAATGTTAATTCCCATTGAGGAACCCTGCCCGGAACCACTGCACACCTATGGGCTTCCCTGTCACTGTCCCTTCAAAGAAGTAAGTACAGGGAGGGGAGAGCATTTCCGCGTGACTGGAGTAGAGACATGGCACTGGGAGACATTCTCTTACAGACCTGGACATCTGTGGGTGTAAATTGACCCGATTTATCCTGAATCACTTACCTTTTGGGGGCCTCGGTTTATCCATCTGTGAAATGGGAAACTTGATGCTCGATCTGACCTCCAGTGCCCTTCTGCTATCACATTCCATGCTTTACATGATCCTTAGGAGAGTGGGAAGAGGGGCAGTTTGCAGCTGCAAACTTAGAGGGCACTCCAGGAGAGAGTCCCGTCTGTAGGCTCCCACTGACCTGCAGTCCACTGGCTTTCCCACAGGGTGCCTACTCACTGCCCAAGTCTGACTTCATGCTGCCTGACCTGGAGTTGCCCAGCTGGCTCAGCACAGGGAACTACCGCCTGCAGACCATCCTGAGCAGCAGCGGGAAGCGACTGGCTTGTGTCAATATCTCCGCCTCCCTTAAAGGCAAATAAGGTGGCACCTGCCACTGCAGAATGAAGAGGGTGTGAGGAAGGCATCCCCTTCCTCTGTCTTACGTTGGTCAAGGCTAGATTCTACTCTCTGTCCTTCCTCAAGCCCTTTTCTACAATGATGATGTTCCCCTGCTGAAAGTCATCTTATGCCACCTACAGAGTTTTTAACTGTGGGCCAGCAGCCCTGACCTAAGGGAGGGTGAGCCTGGTGGTTTTTGACAGCCCAGGACACCTACTGGGGTGGCTGCTGCACTTTCAGCCTCACTCCTTTTCTAAACTCATTTTCTAAAGAGGCTAACATGTTTTATGACCCCCACGTTCAGAGTGACCCAATCTTGGTCTCCTGAAGTACCTTTATGATTTTTCTCATTGATTTTTTATGTGTGTCACTGACCTAAAAGCAGAGTGAAAGTACTAACAGTTTTCATTTTACTTCCACTCCCTCTTACAAGGAAGGGTCTGAAGGAGATGATCTAAATCTATTCCTCTGTTAACTTCTATAATTTAGTGTTCTTTTTCTAGACTTGCCCAGTTAACAGTGGGGTATAGTGTATCCTGGAGAGGCAGGGCATGTGGAAGAACAACTGAGAATGCTTTGTGTATTTAAGAGAGTCTGCCAATTCAGGTGCTTTCAGGGCAAAGCGTGGGGCATCCGTGAGTGATGAGGGCCACGAGAAGCATGTTGTTTCCAGGCATATCTTGCCTTTGTACAACAGCACTAATCTAAGGCAGCTGCTGCCCCATCTCGGGCTGGGGCTCTAATCAGGGATATGGAGGCTGGGCTGAGCTGGAAAGGGTACTTCCAGTCTGTAGGGGCAGTTGATGTCCAGTTATTGCCAGTGAGTTCCACAGGAGACTGTGGGCCCAGCATTACCAAATATTCTCAACATTTTTTCCCCTCAAGAGGCCAGAAATCCAGACTTTTATATGAAATCCATTTTTAAATATTGACAGTGAATTTTTTTTTTTTAAACACTGCACAGGCAGAAGGGGCCAAACAGACTTGTCAGTAGGAAAATCTGGCTCATGCGAGGCCAGTTCGTGGCCTTGGATGTAAGAACACGCATGCCTTGTCCTTTTAACCTTGAGACAACTCCAGCACTGTTTCTCCTTCTGTGGGGCCGAGTCCATAGTGCCTGAGCCGGCAGGCTCCTCTGATGCTGGGGGAGTGAGGTGGCCTCAGAGCTAGGAGCTCAGGACCTCCTGCCCTGGCCCAGAGTGTTGTCAGGGTGAGGGAGGCAGAGCCTGAAGAGGTGGCCCCACCAGCAGCCATTCTGTGGAGCAGGGATCCATGATGAGAGGTGGACTTATATCAGGTGCCTGGGTTTATTCATCATCCTGTCCTCCTATGACCAGCCTCAGGTTCGGGGCTCACACGAAGCCTGGAATGGTAATAAATCTTTTTGACTTGCTGAGAATTCCTGCTTTGTTGTGGCTGCATACTTTTTCCCACTGATCACATCTCAGGATTTCCAGATCTCGTGTACTGGGTTGTTCCTGCTGGAAGTTTATAGCAGCGGGACGAGAGCTGAAGCAATGCCAGGGATTGACTCTTCTGTTTCTGTCTTGTGTGCTGCTTAGTACCTCTGCTTCGTTCTGTCCCAGCACCACCCAGCTTCCTCGTTTGCTTTTTTGACCTGCCCCCTCACAGTATGGCCTCTCCAGCCTTTATTTCCCCTCCTGGATCTTTGGGCGTTATTCTCACAGATATATTTCAGTTCACATCCTTGCACGGAAGGATGTTCAGTAGCTTGGTTAGTCTTTGTGTATGCTGTGCTTTCGGCTCAGATGCTACTCCAAGTCTTGTTGAGGGGTGGCGAATGGTGAGAATCTCAAATCTCAGAGCAAAGTGAACTTTTTAACAATGGTGCTGAGCCAAATGGAAAGCCATTTGGAAAAAAGTTGAAGTTGGATCCATACTTAATGCCATAGGAAAGAATAAACCTCAAATGAGTCCAGGGTCTAAGTATTAAAAATGAAACCATACAAATACTAAAAAGAAACATGGGTGAAATGTCCAGAGAAAATAAACATTGATAAAGTTGACTGCATAAGAAATAATGTGCTTGGCAAGAGACACAGTCAAAAGACTGGAAGAAAATATTTATAGCACATAACATAGACAAAAGGTTAATAATATTTCTATTATAAAGAATGAAGTATCAAGGGATCAAAAACCTGATAGAAAAATTGTGAAAATAAATGAACAGATAAACTCTCACATAAAGATATAAAAGTGACCCTTAAACATAATAAGATATATAAACTCACTTCAAAATCAGAAAAATGTAAATTGAAACAATATTAACATAACATTTGTCAATTTCTTGGGTTGGTCAGAACACACTACCACAAACCATTAGGCAGGGCTGTGTGGAAAAAGGTCCCCTCAAACATAACTGGTAGGAATACAGACTGGTTCAGTCCTTCATGAGGGGAATTTGTCAGTGTTACTGTTCATGTAGGCTTCCCTGGTGGCTCAGAAGGTAAAGAACCCACCTGCAATGCAGGAAAACCAGGCTCAATCGCTGTGTCAGGAAAACCCCCTGGAGAAGGGAATGGTAACCCACTCCAGTATTCTTGCCTGGAGAATCCCATGAACAGAGGAGCTTGATGGGCTACAGTCCAAGGGTTGCAAAGAGTTGGACACGACTGAGTGACTAAACACACGCACACTATTCATGTAAGAAAAATATACATGTGTCTGCTCATATGTACATGAGGAAAAATGAGCTGGAAACTAATGAACTGGTTATTTACAGAGAGTGGAAAGAAGAGGGAAATGATAACAGGGTATAAAGGATGAAGAGGATGCGATGCTTTTGAGTATATCTTGTTGTATATCTGACTCTTAGAACCATAATAATGTTTCTGAGTCCAAAATCATAGAAAAAGCAGGAGATAAGGGAAATTCAACATGTAATATAAACAGTAACAAAATATATTTCAAATGAATTATACAACAACACTGAAGTGGATGGGAAAACTAAGTTATAGTATTTTGATGGGGTACTGTAAAGCAACAGAAAAAAGGAACTGCATACAAATACTGTGTATACTATAGTTTGTTTTTCACAGGAATAGCATTAGCAATTCTAAAAGTATTTCCTGTGTATATTAGGACTGAGAAAATAAATATGGATAATGAGAGCATGGGGCATACTGAAAGGACACAGGAACCAACTGGAGAGAGCTCTCAGTGGCCAAGTCTTGGGCAACTTGAGCAAGAAAATAAATAATGACAGTAATAGGTTATAATCCTTTGAATGAAAACAAACATCCATGAGTCTGTATACAACAGAATCCCAACTAAATGTAGAAGGGATGGTATTAATAGGAAAAAATCATTAGGTAAATGCCACTGTCAGAATTGCTGCAGATAAGGAACATCTATGGATGCTAAAATTATTGGATAAACATATAATGAGACACAGGATTTTGCACAGTCTCACGATATCTCCTCACAGGATACAATTACAAAGTGGGAAATGTAATGGTGGAGAAACCTGGCAGACAACACTTACAAGTGATCCAAGTTAACATCACCAGCAAGTAGTGATGTCATGCACCTCCCAATCTGGTGCACTGATAAAGGACAGTGACACTTCTCTGGTATTGCCCAAAATGTGTAATCTCAACTTTATCACAAGAAAGATCACACAAACCTAAATTGAGAAACACTACAAAAGAACTGACCAGTCCTCTTCAAAAATGTCAGGGCCATGAACAGTAAGGAAAGACTAAGGAGCAGTCACAGATCAGAAGAGAATAGGAACTGTGAGATCTCGGATTAGATGCTGGATTAAAAAAAGAATCAGAAATAGGATTTCACCAGGGTTAACTATTTAGGTTTAATAATTGTGCTATGTTTGGGTAAGATGTTAACATTAGTGAAAGTTAGGTGATTTAAAGTTCTTTCAAAATAAAAAAGCTATGACAAACCTAGACAGCATATTGAAAATCAGAGACACCACTTTGCTGACAAAGGTCCATATAGTCAAAGCTATGGTTTTTCCAGTAGTCATGTATGAATGTGAGAGTTGGATCATAAAGAAGGCTGAGTGCTGAAGAACTGATGCTTTCAAACTGTGGTGTTAGAGAAGACTTTTGAGAGTCCTTGAACAGGAAGGAGATCAAACCAGTCAATCCTAAAAGAAATCTACCCTGAATATTCATTGGAAGGACTGATGCTGAAGCTGAAGCTCCAATACTTCAGACACCTGATGCGAAGAGCCGACTAATTGGAAAAGACCCTGATGCTGGGAAAGATTGAGGGCAAGAGAAGAGGGTGATGGAGGATGAGGTGGTGCGATGGCATCATCGACTCAGTGGACATGAGTTTGAGCAAACTCTGGGAGATAGTGAAGGACAGGGAAGCCTAGAGTGCTGCAGTTTATGGGGTCACAAAGACACACAACTTAGTGACTGAACAACAGTAACAACAATAAGATAAAAAGTTGTAAAAATATATTGCAGAAGTTTCTCCATGACAACTGAGAAGTGTTACAAGATAGAAGCTTATCAGGGCTTGCAGAGTCTGGGTCAGTGGGTGAAGTCAGGGAGGGTTTTCCTGAGGAAGTGATAACAGATCTGACAAATGAGTAGAAGTTAAGCAGGTAGAGACAGACAGGAGGAAAGAGTTCTAAGTGGAGGAAACAGTATATGTATAGGCCCTGCAGCAAGGTGAAGCTGCTTTCTGGAGACTGGACAGAGGTGGGTGCAGCTGGAGGGAAAAGGTGCCAGAAGAAGCGAGAGAGGTAGGGGAAGAGCAGATCACAGGGCCTGTGGTTCACGTTTGAGTCTCCCTGACCAGCAAGTCCAACTTTTAAAGTTATGGTCCACTTAAATATTTTTCCTTAAGAGGGTCATAGCACTGTAATTTCACTTCCAAGAGGTATAAGCATGTCAGAGGTTCTGCTCTCCCCACTGCCCAGGCTTTTTTTTTAACCTTTAATCTTAGACCAGGGAATTGCTTGAGGGGATCCTATGTGAGTTTGAGTTAGGCACTGTGTCTGGATGCTGTCTGCTAGTAACAAATCTTGTGACTCCTTAGAGTGTTGCCTGTCAGTTTCATTCCTGGGGTCACAGTGGCTTATAAATCACTCATGTCACTTGTGTTGACTTGGGAGCCAACTCTTGATGCTTCAGTTTCTGATGGACAGCTTCCACTGTCACCCCCATGCAGGACTCATCTTGCTTAGCAATCTCAATCTGTGTTCTATAGCCATCTCAACCCTCTCATTAGTCTTTCTTTCTGTCAATGGGCTTGTTGAAGATCCAAATTCAGCTTTTCCTTAAAATGGTTCTGTGTAACATTCCCCTCAAAGCCCCAACCATAGTCCATCTCAGTCATGTTAAGATGAATCACGTTCTTGGAGACAAGAAATGCAGTGGAAAATGATTCTGAAGGTTCTGGGGATCAGAAATCCTCCTATAGCCTCTGTATCCTCCCAAATATCTCTGTTCCAACGACCAGGTCCCAGTTTTTGCCAAGGAAGCACATGGCAGCAGAAAATTCACTACACATTGCTGAAATTGGAAAGGCCAATTTGGGTCCTAACAGTGATCTCAGAGTGCTGGCTGCAACCAGAAACTGCTCTGTACCAGTCATATGGTGGCCTGAGTCTCGTTATCTGGTAACTTACTTCCCTAATCTGAGTTTGCATATCATTCTATTCTGCACTCAAACCTTACTGCCAGGGTTGGCTACCCACCATCTGCAGACTGTTCAGTGCTACAAGGAGCAGAAATTCTTGCATTCATTTTTCCAAAGGTTCTTTTGCAACCCAGAGTCTATTAGTTTCATGGGGTTTGCAATTGCTCGTAAAGTTGCATGCAAAATTTACTATGTATATAGGTGAGTTGTATGGAAGGGGGATCCATGGCCTTCATTAGCTTCAACAATGTGTATGACCCCTCCAAAAGTTATAAACCACTGTCATATTTGCATTTTATTGTTCTATATTCTATAGTAAGGCTTATATATATGCCATAAAGCCTTACCTGCTCTAGGCTCATGGTCTGGGTCCCCAAAGAGCAAAGATTTTATTATTGGCATATATTAATAGCTTTCTTACATCTTGATAGGATGGTCCTCCCTACCTCCTCTTCCTTCATGATGCCATAGCTACTTCACATCTCCAAGAGGTTGTTCTTGACATCTGACCATTGCTAAATGAATGAAGGCGCATAGCAGGGTAAGAACTCTGCCATCTCCAGCTGGGATTCCTGTTATTTAGGCCATGGACCCAATCATCAAATGGAAGGCAAGGCTGAAAAGTGATGTTACCTAGAAATACTCATTATTCTGTAGATTTATGCTTTGCATACTTTTCCGTACAATAATATAGTTCGCTATAAAATGTTTTTAAGAAGTGGTGCTTCCATTAGAGTGAAACAGATCATTAAACGTTTTCCTCACAAGAAGTTTCTTTAGTTATAAAGTCAACACATTATTGTTAAAAATGTAACAACACAGGTAAGAAAAAGAAACAACATAGGACTCCCCTGGTGGCCCAGTGGTTTAAGAATCCAACTTGCAATGCAGGGAACATAGGTTCGATCCCGGGTCCAGGAACTGAGATCCCATGTGCCACAGGGCAACTAAACCCATGTGCCACAACTTCTGAAGCCCATGGGCCAGTGCTCTGCAACAAGGGAAGCCACCATAGATGAGAAGCCTGCACACAACAACTAGAGAGTGGCTCCCGCTTGCCACAACTAGAGAAAGCCCATGCATGCAGCAATGAAGACCCAGAGCAGCCAAAAATAAATAAATGTACACCCCGAAAACTCACCCAAAAACAAAACCACCACCAACAAAAACCTATAAAATTTCACTCATAATTGAACCCACTTGGAGAAAATTCCTGTAACATTTTACAGGGTTGGCCACAAAGTTTGTTCAGGTTTTTCTATAACATCTTCAGAAAAATGGGAATGAATTATTTTGCAAACCCAAATATGTTGCACATATCCTTCAAAACTACTAGACTATATGCATACATGCTTTTTAAAAAAGAACCAAAATGGCATCAGGTTTCACATTCTAGTTTTAACAGATATATAATGAAACTTATTTATTGTACAACTGAATAAAATTTGACATATATACACACCTGGGAAACCATCCTCACAGTCAAAATAATGAACATATTATCCATCACTTCTGAAAGTTTCCTTATGCCCATGCTCACCTCTCTTACCTTCAAGGAACCTGATTTTCTTTCTGTCCCTACAGGTTAGGTTGCTTTTTTTTTTTTTTAATGAATAGAATGATACAATTTGCCAGCAGCCAATGCAGGGAATACAAATTCGATCCCTGGTCCCGTAAGATCTCACATACTGTGGACAAGCTAAGCCTGTGCTCCACAACTACTGAAGCCCGTGCACTCCAGAGCCTGTGCTACACAAGTCACCAAAATGAGAAGCCCAAGTGCCTCACACAAAAGAGCAGCCCCTGCTCACCACAACTAGAGAAAGCCTGCGAAGTAATGAAGACCCAGCACAGCCAAAAATAAAGATTCATCCACATTATTGTGTGGATTGACAGTTTGTTCCTATTTATCACTGAATTGTACTCCAGGGCTTGGATACACCACAGCTTATCCATTCACTTGTTGATGGACATTTGGGTTGTTTCCCTTTTGCTACTATAAATACAGTTACCATAAACATGTGGCTACAAGTCTTGTCTTTTTTTGCCTGTGCTGTACAGCTTGCAGGATCCTACTCCTCAACCAGGGGTTGAACCTGTGCCTCTGGCAGTGAAAGCATGGAGTCCTAACCACTAGACTGCTAGGAAGTTCCTTTTACAAGTCTTTTTATAGGTAGAAAATCCCTTTCCTTTCAGGTAAATATCTTGAGATAGAATAGTTGGATTATATGGTAGGTGTGTCGAACTTTTTTAAGAAACTACCAAACTGTTTGCCAAAGTGGTTGTACCATGTCTGTCCACAGTATATGGGAGTTCCAGTTCCTCTACATCCTTGATGAGTATGCTCAGTCTTAAAAGTTTTATTCATTCTAATGGGTATACAGTAGTACCATGTATGGTTTTAATTTTAATTTCCCTAAATATTAATGATGTTGGGACATCTCTTCAATGCTTATTCACCATCCGTGTATATTTTTTTTGGTGAAGAATGCATTCATATTCTTTGCCCATTAAAAAAAGTTGTTTCCTAATTGTTCAGCTTTAAGAGTTCTTTATGTACTCTGAATGTAAGTATCTCATTAAACACAAGCTTCTCAAATATCTTCACCCAGATGGTGACTTTTCCTCCTATACTCTTAACAGCACCTTTTGAAGAATAAAGATTTCAATTTTGATGGAGTTCACTTTAGTAATTTCTTCTTTTATGGGTTGTGCTTTTGGTATTATATCTAAGAAAGATCTTAGCCCAAGGGTCATAACATTTTTCTCTCCTATATTTTCTTCTAACAATTTTTAAGTTTTACATTTACATCTAAGATACATTTTAAGTTGATTTTTTTCTATGTGATGTAAAGTATGGATTCAAGTTTGTTTGTTTGTTTGTTTGTTTGTTTTGGTGGAGGGGATCACAAAGATTTCCAATTCTTGCACACAACTTCCTTGAAAAGGTGATCCTTTTTCTACTACCTTGCCTTTTCTTCTGAACCTTTGTCAAAAATAAGTTGCCCACATATGTGTTGAGTTATTTCTGGACTCTCTATTCTTTCCACTGAACTATTTGTCAATTTTGGTGCCAACACCATGCAGTTGTTTTTTGGTTTGTTTTTGGGCACACTGCATGGCATGTGGGATCTTAGTTCCTTGACCAGGAATTGAACGTATGCCCCCTGCATTGGAAGCACAGAGTCATAACCACTGGATCACCAGGGAAGTCCCAACACCATGCAGTTTGGATTACAGTAGCTCTGCTATAATTTTTAAAATCAAACAGTGTTAGCTCTTCAACCTTGCTCTTTTTCAAGAAATATTTTGGCAATTCTAAATTTCTTTGCCTTTCAGTTGGCTAAGTTATAAAAAATTAAAATACCTTGCTGAATTTGATGACAATTGACAGCTTAACTATAATGTGTCTTATGAGCTATGAATGAGGTATATCTCCCCATTTTTTTTGCTGTTAAGTCACTAAGTCATGTCCAACTCTTTGAGACCCCATGGAGCACGCCAAGACTCCCTGTCCTTCATCATCTCCCTGAGTTTGCTCAAACTCATCTCCATTGATTCAATGATGCCATTCAACTATCTCATCCTCTGTCGCCCTCTTCTCTTGCCCTCAATCTCTCCCAGCATCAGGGTCTTTTGCAAAGAGTCAGCTCTTCTCATCAGGTGGCCGAAGCACTGGAGCTTCAGTTTCAGCATCATGTTTGTTTGTTTGTTTGTTTTGGTGGAGGGGATCACAAAGATTTCCAATTCTTGCACACAACTTCCTTGAAAAGGTGATCCTTTTTCTACTACCTTGCCTTTTCTTCTGAACCTTTGTCAAAAATAAGTTGCCCACATATGTGTTGAGTTATTTCTGGACTCTCTATTCTTTCCACTGAACTATTTGTCAATTTTGGTGCCAACACCATGCAGTTGTTTTTTGGTTTGTTTTTGGGCACACTGCATGGCATGTGGGATCTTAGTTCCTTGACCAGGAATTGAACGTATGCCCCCTGCATTGGAAGCACAGAGTCATAACCACTGGATCACCAGGGAAGTCCCAACACCATGCAGTTTGGATTACAGTAGCTCTGCTATAATTTTTAAAATCAAACAGTGTTAGCTCTTCAACCTTGCTCTTTTTCAAGAAATATTTTGGCAATTCTAAATTTCTTTGCCTTTCCATGTGAATTTAAAAATCAGTTGGCTAAGTTATAAAAAATTAAAATACCTTGCTGAATTTGATGACAATTGACAGCTTAACTATAATGTGTCTTATGAGCTATGAATGAGGTATATCTCCCCATTTTTTTTGCTGTTAAGTCACTAAGTCATGTCCAACTCTTTGAGACCCCATGGAGCACGCCAAGACTCCCTGTCCTTCATCATCTCCCTGAGTTTGCTCAAACTCATCTCCATTGATTCAATGATGCCATTCAACTATCTCATCCTCTGTCGCCCTCTTCTCTTGCCCTCAATCTCTCCCAGCATCAGGGTCTTTTGCAAAGAGTCAGCTCTTCTCATCAGGTGGCCGAAGCACTGGAGCTTCAGTTTCAGCATCAGTCCTTCCAACGAATATTCAGGACTGATTTCCTTTAGGATAGACTGGTTTGATGTCCTTCCTGTCCAAGGGACCCTTTAAGAGTCTTCTCCAGCACCAGTTTGAAAGCATCAATTCTTCAGCACTCAGCCTTCTTTATGGTCCCAACTCTCACATCCGCACATGACTACTAGAAAAACCATAGCTTTGACTATATGGATCTTTGTCGGCAAAGTGATGTCTCTGCTTTTGAATATGCTGTCTAGGTTTGTCATAGCTTTTCTTCCAAGGAGCAAGTGTCTTTTAGTTTTGTGGCTGCAGTCACCATCCGCAATGATTTTGGAGCCCAAGAAAATAAAATCCGTCACTGTTTCCACTTTTTCCCCATCTATTTGCCATGAAGTAATGGGACTGAATGGGGCTTAATTTCCTTTAGCAGTATTTTATAGATCTTGGTGTACATATGTTTCGCATCTTTCATCAGAATTAACCCAGACTATTGCATCTTTTTGGTGCTTTTGTAAGTGCAGTTTCTAATTGTTCCCAGTCACAAATTTTCAAATAATAAACCAACCCTCTATTCCTGGGATAAACCCCACTTGGTCATGATGTACTATTCTTTTAATATATTGCTGAATTTGATTTGCTAAAAATTTAGCATTTTTACATCTATGTTCATGAAGAATTTTGTTCTGTAGCTCTATTTTCTTGCAATGTCTTTGCCTAGCTTTGGTTCACATAGTGTTTTAAACCAGATTTTTAAAACTGATAAATCACAAGTATATCATAGGCATTTTAATGTTGTATTTTGCAATGTTTGGGGGGGGCATCACAGCATTTTATTTTGGATGAATCATAGTTTAACCTAATGCTGGATATTTGTTTCCAACTCTTTACTGTTATAAACAATGCATTCAGGGACTTCTCTGGTGGTCCAGTGGTTAAGAGTAAGCCTGCTAATGCAGGGGATATGGGTTCAATCCCTGGTCCAGGAAGATTCCACATGCCATGGGGCAACTAAAGCCATGTGCCACAAATACTGAGCCTGCACTCTGGAAAGCGTGAGCTGCAACTGCTGAGTCTGCATGCCACAACTACAGAAGCCCATGTGCCTTTAGAGCCTGTGCTCTGCAATGAGAGAAGCCACTACAATGAGAAGCCTGCACACCACAACTTGAGAAAGCCTGTGTACAACAACCAACAAAGACTCGGTGCTGTTAAAAATAAAATAATAAAATTAAAATTAAAATAATTTTTAAAAAACGCATACATTTTTGAAAACATAAAAGATTCTTAAGATAAACCCCTGGAAGTGAAATTAGTGGGTCAGAGGGCCATGCATTTTAAGACATATATTGTAAAACTTCCCTCCAGAAAAGTCATAAAAATGTGTTCTGCCATCTTCAGAATATAAGATGGTCTGTTTTTCCAACCCCTTACCAAAAGTAAGTATTATTTTTAAAAGGTCAGTAGTCCTTGTACATGATGAAATCCTTTCTGTTACACAAACTGCTCAGTCTCTTTAGCCTAAATCAGCTCTAAGTGGTCTTAAGGTATGTGAGAAGGTAGGATGGGTTGGGGAGGGAGAGGGGGCAGAGAGAGAGAGGAAGATGAAAAGAAAGAGAGAGCTGATATCCTTCTAAGTAGGAAAGTCATTTGTAATGAAAGATTGCTAAGAAATGTTTTTATCCCTTAATTTACTTTTGGGATCCCATATCTCCAGGGCAACAGGGTAACTTGCTGTTGGAAAGCCCTTCAATTTTCACACATGTGGTTAAAGGATAAGTCCATTTATTTATTTTTTTCTTTTAGAATGTCAGAGTTGGAAGAGCCCTTAATAGCCAATCAGTCTAATCCTTCATTTCAAAGAATGTGAAAATGAGATGGAGAGGGGGAGAAACTTGCTCAAGATCCCACAGGAAGTCAGTGGCAGAGCCAATGGCTAGACAAAATTACTACTAAGTTCTATTTTTGTTCTGTGACTCTTCACTTAGAACCATATCTAGAAACCATAGAAACTCGTCTTCACCCAACATACTTTTCTAAACCTGATACTTCAAGGGCAGGATAGAGAGAATAACTGCTTTCGCATTTATATTTATGCTTGGTCTATTTCAAGGATGTGGGCAAATGGTATCCTTTTTCCCATTAAATGAAGCAGATAACACGAGTGGTTGAATGTGGTTTTGGTTCACAGGTACAAAAGGCCTCCAGAGAAATCCAAAAACCAGAAAAGACATAGCCTGAAAGGTACCAGTACTGACTTGTATCATCTACATTTCTCTTGTAAAGATAAAGAAGCCACTAATTAATATAGAGATGCTGGGGTTTGATGAATGTATATAACATCCACAACAGAAGTCAAACTGGGAATGGGAATATGGGAGAACTATCAGAATAAAAATAGATAATTATGCATAGACACCTGTGGAGTTGGCTATGGAATGGTTGATGGGTTGGGTCAATTCATAGAGGGCTTGGTATGTTCCAAATACACACCCCAAAAGGCCCAGGATGCTGATCATGATGTCCTTCACAATGGTGGTACAGTTCATGTCTTCAGGGTAAAAGGTGATGAGCTCCAGGAAGGGAGGGATGATGAGGGCCAGGGCACTGCTGCTCACGGAGCCCACCAGGGAGATGACCAGGTCCAGGCGGGGGATGAGGATGGCTGAGACACCTGAGGGGGGAGAAGAGGTTTAGAATCATGGAATGTTCCTTCAGGAAGGGAGCCCAGAAACAAACCATTTGTTTGGAGCCTTACAATTCCCAGACACCTGAGACACCGTCTGGAGAGGTGGGAAAGGAACTCATTGTGAACTTGAGCAGCAGATCAAGCACTGTGGCTCTGGACTTCCACATCTGTTTTAACACCAATATACATGTTCTCCTTTCATGCTTTATCTATTGAGTTTTTCCACATATAATATTTATTGATAAGGATTCTCTATCACCCATCTGTAATGATCTTCTCATTGCAGAGTTGGGGAAGTCTAGAACTCTAGAGGGAATGGATCATGTCCAAGGTCACATACAGCTGAGATGAGAATCCAATGATATGCCCAACATAAGGCCCTTTCTACCCTACTAGGCTGCCTCTAATGTATGTGAAAGAACTTGGTACACTGTAAGTGTTTGATAAATGCTTGACCCATACTCAGGCACCGCATCTACAGTCAAGTTGTACTGATTGACACAATACAGTCACTGTCTAGAAGCAAGGATGGATAAGCAATAAGAGATGGCTATGCTGCTGTCAGGATCTCAACCACTGGTTTTCCTACTCTTAGAAGGAACCTGATAATAAAGGAAGACATAGAACATGCACACAGCATTAGGTGGCTCACTCACTTTCTTTTTTCTTCCAATTAACACTCTTAGATTTCCATATTTTATAAATACAATGAACATGTATCATGGATTTTCGGGGGGGTGTCCAATTTTGATAATATTTGAATGAACAAATATATATATATATTAATAATTTATGCAATTTAACTTTACACAGCCATATGATTTTCCTATGAATAAATTAAGAAAAACCTCTTATGGAAAGCACTCAGACTAGCTTACTGGCTCTTGAAGAAAACAACACCTCTTTTTGAAGCTGCTATAGCACATCTAACCAAAGAACGAGACAGACTCATAGACTCTTACAGTTGAGAATCCATCACCTCTCTGATGGGATGATCCTCATCCACAGCGCTATGTCTTTTCCATGATTCATTATTGTATCCCTAGCACCTAGGACAATGTCAGGCACATAGTAGGTAATTATGATTGCTGAATGAGTGAAGGATAACTGAACTGGCAGATGAGTAAGCGAGGAAGAAGAGGTCTTTCAGTGTGGAACAGAAGCAGCACATGTCACTGAAAGTCAGCTGTCTCCAGTGATGTTCGGTCCCTGATACCAAGTGGCCTGAACTACTCAGTGCTCCTCTTCAGTAGACACCTTTCCTCCTGGGAATGACCTCAACACAATACACTTACAGGTTCCTGATGTCTTGGTACAGATTGGGAATCTTGTGGAACACCTTTAAGCCAAGCAGCTGTGCTGTTTCTGCTTCTAGAACTCCAGTTACAGGGAGCATCGCATCTGGCAGTGTACTATTCTGTTGGTCTGCTCCAAGCCTTACTTTCTTCTGACCATGAACTGAGACAGGATTCCCTCAACTGTAAACACACAGTCCTGGACACTTTAAGATGAAATTTACTCTCTCTCTTGCACAATAATCCTACAGTTGATACAGATACAGAATTTACCCAAACTTTTGTTTCTCCAGGCAAAACCTCCCTAATTCTTTCCTTCATTCCTCACAGGCCACCATTTTAAATTTTCTTAGAGAAAGCATTTCCCAGCCCTATTCACAATGTTTCCCAAACTTCTACAGTGGCACCTGATATAAAATGAATGAGGAAATGAATGAATGAATAGAAGGAAGAAAGGGAGGGATGGGGGAAGGGAGGAGAAAATGACTTCCAAGAATTTAACAAATCAGCCCTTTGAGGTTCTTCCTATAGTTAAACACCACCTTCAGAGGACCTCACATTAATTTTTGATAGGAAGGAATATGGCACAGTGGAAACACACAGATTTTGGTGCCACACAACCTGCATCCAAATCTCAACTCGGTCACTTAGCAGCTATATGATGTGAGCATGTTACTTCATTTCCTGGGTCACAGTTCTTTCAGCTGGTAATATTACATAGTTAGGCTGTCCTGAGTATTACATAATCTCAGTGTTGTGCCTGACATATAGGAGGCATATAGGAATGAATAAATGACACTTCTTTCTCCCACAAACTAGCTAATGTATTCTATGTGTAGATAGTAGAGATTACTGTAACATTTACTCTGTGACAGTTCTGTTAATCTATTTTTCAGCTGNTTACATAATCTCAGTGTTGTACCTGACATATAGGAGGCATATAGGAATGAATAAATGACACTTCTCTCTCCCACAAACTAGCTAATGTATTCTATGTGTAGATAGTAGAGATTACTGTAACATTTACTCTGTGACAGTTCTGTTAATCTATTTTTCAGCTGGAAACTTGAGGCTTAGGGAGGTAAAATATGTTGCTTGGCTGGTGGCCGAGCCAGCAATAGTGGGGTAGCGGTCAGTGTGGCTTCAAGCCACAGCTTTGGGCAGAGAGCCCTTTCGTCCTACTCACAGGTCAGACAGACCAAGGCTGTGCGGACAGACAGGTCTGCAAACAGCGCCCAGCTCTCTGACACCTGGGAGATCACGAAGGGGATGATGATCTCAGCTGGGACGTGGAACTGGAGGGCATAGGTGAAGAAGATGCCGATGGAGTACATCAGCTTGACTGACTGGTACAACCTGTAGAGAGAGAGGGACACCACATGAAATTAGATGTGGCTCCAGGGCAGGGCCATGCAGGGTTTGCTCACTGCTTGGAAGCTGGGACTTGTTAAGTTATATCACTACCTAACTTCCACTGACTCAGCCTGACTTGCCATTAGAGCCACTTGGGAAGTTTATTAAAAGTGCACATTCTTGGAGATTCTCGTTTAATAGGCTTGTAGCTCAGGAATCTGTGCCTTTTTTTTTCCTTCTTCTTTTTTTTAAAGGTATAGCTGCATAGAGTAAAGTTCACAGTACAAAGATCACATTCCCTCCCACCTTTGATTCCCAGTCTCCAGTTCCTCCCTCCACAGGCAACTCCTCTGACAATTTTCTTGAAGCCCCTCCAGAAATACCATAGACACAAACTTATACAGAATGTAGGTACACATACAGAAGCATCCTTTACATACCACTGATTTGTTTTTGTTCATTAAATATTTCTTAGATATTGTTCCCCTTCAGTATACGTAGATCTGGTTCTTCTATTTAATAGCTGCTGATATTCCAATTGCATGGATATACTATAACTTGTTTAATTTTAAAGAAATTTTTATTGGAGTATAGTTGATTTACAATGGTTTTAGTTTCAGGTATATAGTAAAGTGGATCAGGTATATATGTATATATATATATATATATATATACACATATCCCCTCTTTCGTTTTAGATTCTTTTCCCATATAGGTCATTACAGAGTACTGAATTGAGTTCTCTGTGCTATAAAGCAGGTTCTTACTAGTTATATATTTTTATAAGTTTTAACTGCTCCCCAATTAATAGACATTTAGCTTATTCCTAGTCTTCTGTCAATAAACAATGCAGCAAAGAATATGCTTGTACAAATACCTATGCACATACAGCATACAACCCCAGATGTAAAAATGCTGGGTAAAAGTATATGTGATTTAACATTTTGACAGCTCTCATAGAAGGGAACCCTCACACACTGTTGTAAATTAGTGCAGCTACTGTGGAAAGCAGTATACCAGTTCCTTAAAAAACTAAAAGCAGAACTACCATATGACTCAGTAATTCCACTCCTGGATATGTAACTGAAAAAAATTAAAACTCTGATTCAAAAAGATACATGTACTCCTATGTTTGTGTGAAAGTTGCTCAGGTGTGTCCAACTCTTTGCAACCCCATGGACTATACAGGCCAGAATACTGGAGTGGGTAGCCTTTCCCTTCCCAAACTAGGGATGGAACCCAGGTCTCTTGCATTGCTGGAAGATTCTTTACCAGTTGAGCCACAAGGGAAACCCCTACGTTTATCACAGCATTATTTACAACTGCCAAGATATGGAAGCACCAGATGAAAAAATAAAGAAGACGTGGTATATGCATATAATGGAATGCTGTGCTGTGCTTAGCTGCTCAGTTGTGTCTGACTCTTTGTGACCCCACGGACTGTAGCCTGTCAGGCACCTCTGTCCATGGGATTCTCCAGGCAAGATTACTGGAGTGGGTTGCCATGCTCTCCTCCAGTGGATCTTCCCAAAATAGGTGTTGAATCCACGTCTCCTGCACCGCAGGTGGATCTGAGCCACCAGGGAAGCCCAACAATACTGGAGTGGGAAGCCTGTCTGTTCTCCAGGCGATCTTCTGACCCAGGAATCCATCCAGGGCCTCCTGCATTGCAGGTGGATTCTTTACTAGCTGAGCTACCAGGGAAGCCCATAATGGAATGCTACTCAGCCATAAAGAAGAATGAAATTTTGCCATTTGCAACAGTGTGGATGGACTTAGAGGGTATTATGCTAAAGTGAAATAAGTTAGACAGATAAAGACAAATACTGTATAGCATCACTTATATGTGGAATCTAAAAGATAAACTAGTGAATATAACAAAAAAGAAGCACATTCACAGATATAGAGAACCAACTAGTGGTTACCAGTGAGGAAAAGGGTGGAGGGAAGGGCAAGATAAAAGTAGGAAACTAATGGGTACAAACTACTATGTATAAAATAAGTGAGCTACAGAATATATGGTACAACACAGGGAATATAGCCAATATTATATAATAACTATAAATGGAACATAACATTTATTAATAAAAATTGTGACTATGTTATACACTGGAAACTTATGTAACATTGTACATCAACTATACCTCAATAAAAAGAAATAAAAAGTAAAATTTTGATAGCTCTTGACATATTGCCCATTTGTTGTCTGAGCACAGTGGAGTGCGTGCTACCCTCCATCCTTGGAAAAACACAGTGTGTGAACACATGCTGGTTTGTGCCCTTGTATTTTGTAAAACTGACATTTCTATTATTAGGAGAGAGATAGAGCAGATTTCAAATATATAAACTGCCATTTTTGTTTTAATTTGCCTGTGAACTATTTGTTCACACCCATTTCTTCTTGGTCTTTTGCTTATTCCTTCTTTAAGGCTCTCCTGGAGAATCTCATCACCAGCCAGGCTCAGAGAAGGTGTGAGGTTGTTATGGCACCTGATGCCCATTTTCTCCAGCTGATATCCCAGAAGGAAAGTGCCCTGCCCAAGGTAGTGGCAACCCAAACTGCCCAGATAAGAACAGCATATTAAGTTGATATCTTACTGGTATAAAATAAGTCACAATTTCAAGGAAATTCCATATTAAATATCTCATCCAGTCATTACCACAACACAGTGAAACAGGTAGGATTGGTGATATTTTTCTCATTTTACAGCTGTGGCTTCATGGGAAATGAACACCCTCCACCCCCCAACCCCCAACATTCTACTGACTTCCAAAAGACCAAGGTTGTGGGGGAGACTAACAATGATAATAGCTAATACTCAGTGAGCAGGTACTGCATACCAGACACTTTTCTAAGAATTTTATGTATTTGAAGCCAATCTGCCCTCACAGTCACTCCCTAAGAGACAGTGTGGCAGTCATTTGTGCTGCTCAGCTGCTCACCAAATACTTCCGAGTCTTCCAGACATGTGGCAGAATTTCACTTCTGTGTCCTCTGGAGTGAGTCATGGTCACTTGCTTTGACTGATGAAGTATGAACAGAAGAGACAGGTCACTTCCCAGAGAAATTTTAGGGCCTTCATGGTGAAGGGTGTGATTCAATGTGCTCTTTGCCGTGGCAACCAACGAAGTTTCAGGGAGTGGCTGGCTGATCAGTCTGGGTCTTGGAAGTGGTGATGGTGCAAAGCTGAGCCCCAGCTATCCCATAATGGACATGTAGCATGAGCATACAATTAAACATTTGTGTGTGTCCAGCCATTGAGATTCTGGAGTGGCTTATTCTGTTTATTACCAGAGCATAACCTATCCTGACTGATACAAATAGGCAAGAGTATTATCCTTATTTTACTGAGGATGGAAATGAGGTCTGCAAGATTAGGAAGCTTGTCCAAGGTCACATGAGAACCAGGATCAAATCCCATTGCTCAGATGTAGAATCTGTGCTCTTAAGCACTGGTTTTACTGACAGCTTAGTCATTCTGCACCTACTACTGTCAGAAAAAGGACAATGGCTAATACTTAATGAATGGTATATGCCAGTGCCACAAATGTTTCCTGGATGAACGAATGAATGAGTAAATGAATGAATGATTAATGTAAGAACTTCAGTCAAAGTTCCAAGTGGGGCACAGCATGGCAGTCTAGGCCTATTTCTGGAATTGGGGACCTGAGTAGTTGTCCATACGCAGGACCCTCAATCACTACTTCAGAGTTATACTTTTTGTTGTTGCTGTTTCTGTTCCCTAAGCCCTTCCAGATCATTCCTGTTTGAAAGCCTTTGAACCATAGAGTCAGATAGAATTCAGTTTCAACTTCTCATGAACAACATGAACTGGGAAAGTTACTTACAGCCTTTTCACATATCAACTTCCTCATCTAATTCAATGGAGTTGATAATAATAATGCTAACCCACAAGGCTGTTGAGAGAATTAAATGAGATGATACACAATGCCTGGATTATTAAATGCACCTGTTATTATAATACAGATACTAGCAGTCTATATTTTGTTGTTGATAATGACTCAGGGATGCCCCATTCTGCTGCTGAGGCTCAGACTCTGTGACTTCCCACCTCTTCCCCCCAGCCCCAGATGGGCAGGGACGTACCAGCAATTGGGCAAGTTGAGGGTGATGCTGGCCTGGGTGTTTGAGCCAAACTTCATGTAGCCCAGTGTCCCCAGGCAGATGTAGAGGACGATGACAAGGGACATCCCCCAGTACAGAACAAAGGAAAACTGCTGTGGATGCTTCATCTGGTTTTTGAGAGGTAGAACCTGGAGGTGAAAGGAGGTTAAGAAAGAAAAGGTAGAAGGAGAGAGAGCAGGTTTCCTCTCAAGGACAGACATCCTTCTCCAGGTGGCCCAGAGTCAGGAAGGGTCCTCATGCCCTTTCATCTCTTCCCACATTTTCTATAACCAAGAGTGCCCCATCTTCAAGGCTTGGTGTGGTGTACAGAGCAGGTGGCATCCTGCAAATGGGGACTGACTTTCCCTTCTGCCACGAGATCATATTCTGCATTTTTCATAAGTACTACTATTTAGAACAAAGACTGGCTTCCATAGAGAGAACTGGGGACTCTCGAATCCCACACCCATCTTACCATGCCGACGCCTTCAAATGTGAAGATGGCTGTACCGAAGAACAGTAAGAAGGTCTTCCAGCTTGCCATCAATGGTAGGTTCCTGGGATCTGGAATCTCCTAAAAGGAAGAAGGGCATTGGTTTTTCCAAGGCATAGAAGTCACCCCAAATCTGGTAGAGAGTTAGGCTTGCCTGATGTCAACAGGGACAGTATTAGAAGCACCCATGAGAGATCTACAGCTGAGTCAGCCTTCTCAACTTTTTTTTTTTCATTTATTTTTATTAGCTGGAGGTTAATTACTTTACAATATTGTAGTGGTTTTTGTCATACATTGACATGAATCAGCCATGGATTTACATGTATTCCCCATCCCGATCCCCCCTCCCACCTCCCTCTCTACCCGATCCCTCTGGGTCTTCCCAGTGCACCAGGCCCGAGCACTTGTCTCATGCATCCTTCTCAACTTTTAAAAAAGTTACTTCTTTTTACACATAGCATACAATTTACCATTTTAAACATCTTGAGTGTACAATTCAGTGGCATTAAGAACATTCACATTGTTGTACAATCATCACCAATTCCACCTCCAGAATATTATCATCATTCCCAGCTGAAACTATGCACCCATTAAATAACAACTCCCTATTACCCAGCCCCCCTGGAAATGCCTATTTGACTTTCTGTCTCTATAAATTTGATTGTTCTAGGTACCTCATATAAGTGAACTCATATTATATTTCTCTTTTTGGGATTGACTTATTTCACTAAGCATATTGTCTTCAAGGCATGGATCAGAATTTTATTCCTTCCCAAGGAATACGTTATATATGTTTAATTTTGATTTACCACATCTTTACATGGAAAATAGAACCCAGGGAGGAGAAGGAATTGCCCAAGGCCACTCTACCAGTCAGTGGCACAGCCCAGATATGAATTCAGGTCTTGTGTTTTCCAGTTCTCTAATACCTCTTTCCCATAACTTTTCTCAGAGCTGTGAAGTATTGGCACAGCAGCTACCACCGATCTAGAAGGAATGATTATTTTATTAAGATTGCTGTGGGCAGAATAATGTCCACATCATAATCCCTGGAACCTTGAGTATGTTACATTACTTGGCAAGGGAGAATTAAGTTTCTAGACTGAATTAAGGTACCTAATAAGCTAAATTTAGTAGGAGATTACTCTGGATTATCTGGGTGGGTTTAGTGTAATCACAAGGGTCTTTTAAAGTGGAAGAAGGAATCAGGAGAGAGAACCAGAGAGATGGCAGCATGAGAAAGACATGGCCTGACACTGCTGGCTTTGAAGAGGGAAGTGGGCCATGAGCCAAGGCCTGAGGGCGGCTTCTAGAAGCTGGAAAAGGCAAAGAAACAGATTCTCCCCACAAGCTTCCAGAAAGAAATGCAGCCCTGCCCAGTGAGACCTCAAGAGTTCTGAGATAATTCTGTGTTAAGTTACTAGATTTGTGGTCATTTGTCACAGCAGCAGCAGAAAACCAATACAACCCCAGAGATTTTCAAAGAAATGAAACTGTAATAGGGAATTTCAGGGCCTATACTGATAGCGAAGCATGGGCTTTGTGAGGCAAAATGACTGTATTTCGGGGAAAAATGACTGTTTATCAGTTTCCTTGTCTGTGAACTGGGGATTAAGTAGCACTACTTCCATAACAGCATCATTGTGAAGATTTAGTGAGTTAATCAACATAAAGAAATTGGCACAAAGCAAATCAAATTCGTTTATCATCCATATATCAACCTATCACTATTACAATTTTCGTTGGTTACTTGACTGAGGTTTATCTCCCCAAGTGATTGTAGCCTCCATGAGAGCAGACAGCTTGTCAGTTTTACTTATCAATGAATCCCCTGTTCCCTGTACATTGCTTGGATCACAGAAGGTATCAATAACTATTTGTTGAAAGACCCATTGCTATCTAATGTGACAACGACAATGATGATGACGGTGAGTAGCTTTTATAACCTGTGGGGCAGAAGAGTTCACAGACATCACTTGAGCAGGAGGTCACCTTTCTCGCTCTCATCTGCCCATAATGAGTGTCTCAGAAGCCCTGGACCTTGATCCTTCTGCCGTGGTTTTGGGCACAGACCTGCATGATATACTGAAAGATCAGAGCCATGCTCCCCAGGGTGGTGATGTTGGCCAGCGTGGAGAAGATGGACAGCACCCTGAGGTTCTGGATAAACACCAGCAGGATCAGGAAGGGCAGAATTGTCAGCATGTAGAAGCGAATGTCCACACTGGGGGTCAGCACCAGGATCTTCCTGGGTTCGCAGGTTTTGGAGGTCACGTGGACTTCTTCCACCATCTGATGTGAAGCACAATGAAAGGCAGTATAATTATAGCTGCTACATTAACAAAGGAAACCCAGTTAAGTTTCAATTTCAGATAATTAACAGATAACTTTTTAGTAAAAGTATGTTCCAAATATTATACAAAGATACACTTGTAATAAAAAACAAATTGCTGCTTATCTGAAATTTCAACTTAATTGGGTTTCCTATACTTTTGTCACATTTGGTAATCCTAAACTGTAGTACCCATGATTGTGATAACCAGAAACCCTTAGAATCATCAAATCTCAAAGCTGAAGCATCATTCTGTCATCTAGCCCAACCTCTTCTTATGTACCAAATAGTTTTCTTTCATATATCCAGAGAACAGGAGTTGATTACACAGGAGTATCTTCTTCATCTTTAGATAGTCCTAAAAGTTAGAAAGCTAAGAATTTGAGCAAAATCTGTCTGCTTGAATATTGTATCCATAATGCTTGTCATAGTTTTGACTATTTGAATGCACAAAAACAAGTATACTGCTTCTATTTCATGAAGCCAAGAAAGTATGCTATGATTGACTTGTAATGCCTGTTAGGAATGCAATGAGGGAAAGATTGCAACTTATTTGCTTTAGTTATCTTCTACATGACAACCTTGAGACACCTAAAGAAAATCTCATCAACTCTTCCAGGCTAAAAATTCTCAATTATTTCTGATTGGACAGGACTGTAAGCCAACCTGGCTGCATTCCTCAGATGTTGCTTTGGCTTCCCTATGATCTGTTTAAAGAGTGATTCCCAGGACAGAAAGAACTCCCAACTGAAGCCTGATTAGGGAGTAGAAATAAAGCCTCTCCTACCATGATCCAAAAACTTTACTTTTGCTAATGCAACCCTAGCAGCAAGAGGTCTGCTTTCCCCCACTCTGCCCAGAAGAGGCCTCTTTACCTGTTGTAAATTGTCTGCCATAAACATAAAATAAACACTGCAGAAGCCCAGCTGGGTGATGATTAATAAGAAGCTGACAGTGTACCTGAAAAAGAAAAGAAGAGGCAGACAGAAGGAGAAATGAATTATTTTTAATGCATTTATTTTTATTTTTTGAGACAAATATTTCTTTTGTTATTATTTTTACTATTTCCCCATTTTTTAAATTTCAAGTACACAGTAAAAGTTGAAAGACTAGTATAATTAACATCATATATCCTTTCACTAGATATACTACTGATTGGTAACTTTTAGGTCTAACTGCATTATGCATAGATGGAAGAATGTGTTCATCCATACACACACACACACACACACATGTGCATGCATTTTTTCAGAACTACTTTAAAATTAACTGCAGATGTTATAACATGCCAACCTTAAAGACTGTAATACCTTCCTTAGGACTATGATATTCAACTTCAATATCCTCAAATATATAGTCTATGTTTTACTTTATTCATTTTTACTTCTTTTTTTGGCTGTGCTGTTGGGTTTGTGGGATCTTAGTTCCCTGACTAGGGACTGAACCTGGGTCCTCAGGAGTGAAAGCTCTGAATCCTAACCACCAGACTGCCAGGGAATTTCCAAATATTTTAAATAACCCAGTTCTCTCCAAAATATCTTTTATAGCTGTTTTAAAAATTTCTTTGATTCAGGATCTAATTACATTTCATATGTTGCATTTGCCTATGTTTCTTTAGTCTCTTTTTTCAGGTAGAGCAGCCCTATACATGTCTACCCTTTTTGTTTCCCATGACATTGGCTTTTTGGGAAGAGTCTAGGCCATCTGTCTTGTAGAATGTCCCACAGTGTGGACTTACATGACTGTTTCCTCGTGATTCAGAAAAGCAAGCCTACCACATAGGTGACACTTTGTACTCATATTTCATCATATTGGGAGGCACAGGATGTCCTGTGGTTCTACTGTGATGTGAATTCTAGGCCTCTCCATTACAAGTACACATTTCCTGCTTTGCAACCTGTAGGTAAAACTTTGAGATGGCATGAATAGCCTGTCTTCCTCAAGCCAAAGGTTTTAACATTCACTGATAATCTTTGCTGAATCAATTATTTCACTGGTTGGTTGCAAGGTGTTCTGTCATTTTATCTAAGTTTATTAGCTAGCATCTAAGAAAAATGCATTCTCTTCCTCTTTTTTTATCACAATAAATTCACATTAATTATTCTTTATTTAATATGTTACATTCTGCTATTGTCATTATTCTTCTGGATTCTTAGATTGTCCTGAATTTGGAGATGTATTTATTTACTTTTTTGTGATAACATTTTGAGAGTTCTACATTAAAAATTTTTTTAAATTGGAGGATAATTGCTTAACAATGTTGTGTTGGTTTCTGATGTGTAACATCATGAATCAACCATAAGTATACACATATCTCCTCCCTCTTAAGCCTCCCTCACACCATTTTTTTTTCAAAAGAACAAAAATATGTTCCTCTACTTAGGTTTTAATGTTTAGATTCATGTTTTTCAAGACTGGGTTGTAGTAACCAATGCATCAGAATCATCTGAGGTTGGTGATTCCTGCCTCTCATATGAGCCTACTGAGTCAGAAGCTTGGCAATGTCATGTGAGACTTTAGAAGGGAGATTTTTTTCCTCTTTATAATGAAGATTTTTAAACATACAAGAAAGCAATGATAATAATTCAATGACTCCTCATGAGCTCATCCCAGCTTCAACAATTAACTTTTAGGCAATCCTCTTCCATCTATTCTTCACCCCCACTGCACACAAGCTTCTTTTGTTGGAGTATTTGAAGTTAAGGGAAAAAAATAAGCAAGGTGAGGGGAATATAGTAAATTAAAGTATTTGAAGTATTCCACCTGTAAATAATTCAGTACGCAGTTCTAATGGACAAGAATTTAAATAAAATATAACCATCATGCCCTTAACCACCCCTTACAAAATTAATAATTTCTTTCTTTTTAAAAATATTTACTCATTTATTTGGCTGCACCTGGTCTTAGCTGCAGCATGAGGGATCTTTGATCTTAGTTGCAGCATGTGGGAACTAGATCCCACATCTGATCTAGGGATCGAACTGACCAGGGATTGAACCTGGATCCCCTGAATGGGAAGCGTGGAGCCTAAGCTACTGGACCACTAGTGAAGTCTCACAATAATTTCTTATATCATTTAATATTCCACCATAGTCAAATTTTTCCAATTTTTTTTCAAAAATATCTATTTCAGAGTTGGTTTCTAAACAAGTCTCTATGTTCCATTTTGTTATTAAGTTTCAAGTTTTTTAATCTGCTATATTCCCCTTGCCTTGTTTATTTTTTTCTCTTGCAATTTTAATTTTTTTGGTTGGTGTTGAAGATACCAGAAAATTTCCTTGTAGTGTGTTTAGCTTTCTAGATTCAGTTGATAAATTCATAATGTCATTTACCTTGTTCTTCTATCTCCTATATTTCCTATAAGCTGATATTAGATCTAGTGGTTTGATAAGATTGAGGTTCTTCCTTTCTGTTTTGGGTGGCTCTCTGTACTCCCGATTGAATCCTACTATAAGACACATTATGTCTGTTGACCAATGTCCAAACATGAGATGACTAGAAGGGGTCAGGTGATGCCTGTGTATTCTTCCTTTATCATTTTCCAATGACCTTTCACAACGAGGATTGTTGCTTACATGGAATAGATAGTTTTTAATCAAACTCCCCAGGTATCTCTTAGCACACTAAAGATGACAAATTATTGGTTTAAATAAAATAGTTCCCTAATTCTTTCTCAGTTACTGGCATTCTTTCTCATTGCCCCAGAGAAATGGCATAGTGTAGTGGGTGAGAGCTGAATGTTCTAGATTTCAGTCTGTGCTCTGCCATTAGATTCCTGGGTAACTTAAACCAAACTTATGGCTCTATTTGGTCTTCATTTTCTTCCATTTGAATAGACATAGATACACTGATCTTCAAGGTGACTTTTTGCCTGAAAGTTCTATTCAGAGTGTCATCAGACGCTGATAACTTAGTGAGAAAGGATGGACAATTGTGAGATCTCTGTTATTACTGCCCTGTGCCTCTACCATCTGACAATCAGAGTGATTCCTGACATTCTCAAGAGAGGAGTTGCAGGAGGGAACTTGGCAGGTGAGGGACTGACTACTCCTTGAGGGCTCTGCTGGGAAAGGCTAACATGTTAGGTGCTTGCTTGAAACTCTGCTTCTCTACTATCTGTGTCTTTGACCCTAGACATGTTATTCTATCTCTGTGAGCCTTGGTCACCATATTTCTTCCCAATAAAGATGCACCACCTACCTCACAAGGTCACTGAAATGATCAGAGGCGATCAGATACAGGAAAGCATTTTGTATACCATAGTGTTTTTATCCAATAAGTGTACAAGCTAAATTGTAATATTGACTATTAGGAGGAGGATTAAATAAAACCACAGGATCCATCTATATGGATGGGGAACATTGTGAGCCTTACAATACAAGGAAGTCAATTTGTATGTCCCAATGTGGAAAGAAATTAGAGACATAATGTTAGATGAAAGAGCAAATTTCCAATAAATATTCCAATTAATATACAAGAAAATACAAAATATATATTTTCACTTGCACACACATATCCTGTTCATGCAGAGAGAAAGTCTGGAGGAATACTTACTAACTAGATATCAGTGCTTTCATTTTATTTATTTATTTTTGGCCACACTGCACAGCTTGTGGGATCTTACTTCCTTGACCAGGGATTGAACCTGGGCCCTTGGCAGTGAGAGCCCAGAGTCCTAACCACTGAACCTCCAGGGAAGTCCCAGAGATTACTTCTTGAATGAAGAGTGGGATGGGGGATGGAGCTATCAGAGGAGATTCTCTATATTGGTCAATAGTTTTCAATAAAAACATTCATTTAAAACTCTTGTTACTCAGGTGGTGTGGTGGTAAAGACTCCACCTGACAATTCAGGAGACAAAAGAGACATAGATTCAACCCCTGGGTTGGGAAGATCCCCTGGAGAAGGAGATGGCAACACATTCCAGTATTCTTACATTTTTTTTTTTGGTTTAGTATGGTTTATTAAGCTGTGCCTCAGTACAGACGCTGGGGCTTGCCCATGGTGCTCTTAATGTACAAGGCCCTGACGTTCTGCCAATTTTTCTTGAGTAATGACACCAGGAAGTTGACAGCTAAGTGGATATTGTACACAAACTCATCATCTGTCATCTTCATGTGGCCAACAGCCACTGCCAGACACAGCACCTTCTTCATCTGGAACTTGATCGTGGACTTCACTTCATCAACTTTGGCCACCATGTTTTCATTGTGGGTCAGCAAGGAAGGGAACTTGCCAGCCTTGTTTAGTCCTGGGCCCAGGATTTGGGGGAATATGCTTGATCAGAGACTCTGAAGCTAAAAAGGCATTGTATTTCTTGGCCAGTTTCTTATTCTTGTTGAGTTTCTTCAGCGCCTCAATGTCCATGTGGGGGATATCCACAGCCTTGGCCTCATCACAATGCTGCTGGTCCCCCAAGACACACATGGAGAACTTGGGGCGGGGAGCGGACTTAAGCCTGACGGTGCCCGAAAAGCGTTTGTCCTTCTGAGGGTCATAGTTCTTCAGGCTGATCTGAAGCTCCACAGTCTCCAAAAACTTCCTGTGCTTGCGCTGGTTCCCGTGCAGGATTTCCCGCACCACCTCATAGAGGGTGTCGCGGGAGACTTTGCTGCTCATGGTTCCCTACACCGTGATAACCGGAAAAGAGCACATTCCAGTATTCTTGCCGGGGAAATCCCATAGACAGAGGAGCCTGGTGGGCTACAGTCCACGGGGTCAAAAAGAAGCTGGACACAACTGAGCACGCACATGCAATGTACTAGCAGTAAAGGAAGAACAGGTGAGCATTATTATGGCTGCTGTTGTTATTATTACTACTACTCCATTGATAATCTGGGCTTCCCTTGTGGCTCAGCTGGTAAAGAATCTGCCTGCAATGCCGGAGACCTGGGTTCGATCCCTGGGTTGGGAACATGCCCTGGAGAAGAGAAAGGTTACCCACTCTAGTATTCTGGCCTGGAGAATTCCATGGACTCCATGGGGTTGCAAAGAGTCAGAAACGACTGAGTGACTTTCATTCATTCATTCATTTGTGATGTCTAGGACTACTACCTTCCCCACACTGAGTGTGTTCTCAGCCAGGCGTTTGGGCAGGTTTCAAGGCTGTACATCATGGCTTCTCCATAGTTCACAAAAGTCTTCTGCAGCCTAAAGAACGGACAAACAATGTACACCTTAATTTTTTTTAAGTACAATTTATTCCCAAAGGGAGTAATTACTATATATTCATGTATTAATATGGAACATTTTGGTAATTTTCTAGCAATGGTATCATTGAGTTATTTTATAATGGTACACTTTTAAAAGTTTTAGAATTCTGCCTCTTATTTTTTGTAGTTGTCTTTATTAACACTAATTTTTAAGTGGAGAGTATTATTATTATTATTTAGGTGGCCAGTAGCTTGGACTTGATTAGGTCAGCAAACAAGGACAGTGAGGATGTGGAAGCTGTGAGGTGTGCAGACCTAGTCAGCGGGAGGGGGAGAGAGGGGAATGAGGTGTAAGTATGGCCAAGAGAGTGGTTCTACCTTTTCTGAACTGACATTCCCTTCTTCACTTCTGAGGGTGCTGGAACATTTAAGACGCTTGCCCTGGACCAAATCCCATGCAAAGGTGATCTTTAGCCTCCTGCCCAGCACCCCTGTCAGATGTGACACCCCAGTTCTAGCCCATCCCTCTTCCCCCATCCCTCCTTCGCCAGGCGGCCCTTCCTAAGAGAGGCGGAGGCCCTCTGGAGCACTGCTGACAAAGCAAGTGGGAGCAAGTTGCCTAAGTCCCTGGAGTTAATTGCATGACTGAGGGGAGTAACTTGGACAGGGAAAGAGACCCAGACTTGTCAGGAAACCAGTGTTTAAGTAACAACACATCCCCCTCAGATGGCCAGGAGACCTTGAGCAAGTCTCTTTATGCTTCGGGGCTTCAGTTTTTTTCTTCACATGCAGTCTGGGTTTTGGGGAGAAGCGAGTGAGAGATGGATATGGTGATGCACTGGGAACATGGCACGATGCTGCTGTTTTTACTATTATTCTATGTGCTGGGCATTTCAAATACAGATGAGGTTACATTGTATAGGACTGGTAAGTATATTAGGCTGAGGATTGCAAATTCAAAAGCAATGGGGACCAGAAAGGTATCAGTATTGTGGTGAGAATGACTGGGTGTGAGACAAAACAGGGAATCGTGGAGACAGAGGTCAAGGCTCTGGTACATGTCCTGTTCCAGAGAGGTTGGTCAGGATGTGGCTCTAGCTGAATGATACAGGAATGAAGCCACAGAGGTAGCAGAATGTCTAACTGGCAAGAAGGTGCAGATTTTTTTTTTTTTTAATGTGAAATCTCCAGGTTTTTAAATGTTGGCTAAATACAAAAAGCCAAAAAAACTGTAAAAGTCCTCCATAATATATCTAAAAGCTAATGTGAATCTGTAACCCTTTACTTTGACTCACAAGGCCTTTTGGCACAATTATGAGGACATATTTAGATTTGCCTGCCTTGGGAGCAGCTGAGTCCTGTGGAGAGAAAATCTCCAGGCTGTGGCTGTAAGGAATTGCTAATTACTGTGAGTTGCTAGTTGATATATACGAAATTCTCAGCATTGTTTGCTTTTACTGCATTTGCCTTTTTTTCTGGAATTTTGTTTTACATTAAAGTTTTAAATATATAAACATTGTAATGCATATATACTTTATTAGAGATTGAAATCACTGTGAATTATTCATCTCATTGCTATTTTTTTTTTTACTATTACTAAATTGTCCCATAAAGGTCTTACTTGGAATAAATTTCCCTTCCAAGGTGTGTGTATTGGAGCTGGGGGAAGACCAGGGGTGGAAGGTGGAGAGATTAAGAGGGAGTATCTTGAATACACATGGGTGTGTATAGAACAAATTTGCATTTCTTATTACTTCTGATCTTTCTAGGAAAGGATATTTGGGCTCACAGGAGATTGGCAAAGTGCTCCAACTAGTCAGCAGCAGAGCTGTGCCTGGAACTTGGGAGTTTCCAGTAGGATTTTAATCACTCCCTTCACCGCCTCAGAGCAGCAGGGGTGGTGGCCTGGAGAAGTGGCCAGCTAACTGGGAATTGGGTCAGTGATCCAGGGAAACTTAGCACACCCTTAAGTGGAACGTGGTGCCATTTGGTGATACAGATGATAGAGATAAAGAAGCAGAACTCTCACCTCTGACTTAGGTGTTGAGCACAATTCAGCAGGATGACCATGCAATGCACGGTGAGGATCCCGATGGCCAGCAGGCTGAAAGGACCGACCTGGAGGGGAATGGAGAGGTGGGCACAGTGAGCCGCAAATGGATGCTCCCATATCTGTCCCTCTCTCTGCTGAGGTGCTGGGGTCCCTCTTATAACAGAGATTTGGGGATGAGAACCCGAGATGACAGCCCCTGCCTGAATGTCCTTGTACCCCGACATGCTCTGGCTTGAATGCTCTTCTTAGCATCACTGCAAAGTGGCTGTCCGACCTGTGCTAGAATACTTCTGATAACAAAGAGCTCATTACCTCCCAGACAGCCCATGCCTTTCCTCATCTGCCTTTAGTTCCACTTGAGAACCCTCATTCCTTTTCATATCCCAGCCCTTACCTCCTCCAAGATGCTTGAAGACCAAAGTTCCTCTTAAGGATTAGTTTTCTTCTCCTAGTACAGGGTTATCAAAAGAGGCACTATTGACATTTTGGGCCAGCTGATGTTTCTGTTGCAGGGGGCTGTCCTGTACATTGTGGTTTATTTAGCAACATCCCTGGCCTCTACTCACTGGATTTCAGAAGCACTCCCTCTCTCTCCACCTTAATTTGTGACAACCAAGACTGGCTCTAGACATTGTAAATGTCTTAGGGTATATTAGTCACTCAGTTGGGTCCAGCTCTGTGCAACCTCATGGATTGTAGCTTGCCAGGTTCCTCTGTCCATGGGATTCTCCAGGCAAGAACACTAGAGTGGGTTGCCATTCCCTTCTCCAGGAGATCTTCCTGACCCAGGTATCGAACCTGTGTCTCCTGCATATTTTTTAAAGTATTTATATTTATTTATTTATTTAGCTGCTCCAGGTCATAGTTGCAGCATACAAACTCTCAGTTGCAGCATGTGGGATCTAGTTTCCCAAACAGGATCAAACCTGGGCCCCCTGCATTGGGAGTGCACAGTCTTAGCCAATGGACCACCAGGGAAGTCCTTACATTTTATTTTTTTAACTAAAAATTGTATGTACTTAAAGTGAACAACATGATTTGATATACATACACACAGAAATGATTACTAGAATCAAGCTAATGAACAAGTCTTCTCCTCACATGGTCTCCATTTTTTAAATATGTGATGAAATTATAAAGTGGGGCTTCCCTGATGGCCCAGACACACAAGATTAAAAGGTAGGGCTCATTATTATTATATTTTGGCCATGCTGCGTTGGGATCTTAGTTCCCCGACTAGGGATCAAACCTGTGCCCCCTACAGTGTGGAAGCACAGAGTCTTTACCACTGGACCACCAGGGAAGTCCAAGCAGGCCTCATTATTAATCATTATCTCCCAAGTGTGATCACAGGGCAGAGAGCAAAGAGGGACTCTCTCACCCTCTTTGTGCTGGACACCTGTGCCTTTATAGATGCGACATATGCTAACAGTATCATGAAGAAACAAATGAGAGATGAAGAGCACCACTAGAGTTCACCAGAATGTAGCCTTCATATAGCAGAAGACTGTTTTTTTGGTCTTGTATACATCTATATTCCCAGAGCTTAAGAATAATAGATGCAAAATTCAGCTGTGAAGCCATCTGGTCCTGGGCTTTTGTTTGCTGGAAGATTTCTGATTACAGTTTCGATTTCCTTGCTTGTGATGGGTTTGTTAAGATCTTCTATTTCTTCCTGGTTCAGTTTTGGAAAGTTATACTTCTCTAAGAACTTGTCCATTTCTTCCAAGTTGTCCATTTTATTGGCATAGAGCTGCTGGTAGTAGTCTCTTATGATCCTTTGTATTTCAGTGTTGTCTGTTGTGATCTCTCCATTTTCATTTCTAATTTTGTTAATTTGGTTCTTCTC